AATGGCCAGGAATGTGATGAATGATGGTTACCTAGGGTTACAAAACTGTAAAAGAGAAGCAAGTTGCCCAGGTAGTCTTTTACTGTGCAAGAGCATGGATGTCAGAGGCTGGACCTGATATGGGTAGTACTGAGAAAACATCAGATATCCTGGAGAGAATTTTAAGGAGAGAAACAGAGGAGTGAGCACAGTGTCATTGTGGTACAGTTACACTCTCTGAATAGTCAGATAGGTAGGGTGATTCCTAGGGATAAAAAATGAGCATGAGAGCAGTATTGTTCCCATATGATTCAGCATAGGTGTCATTAACACCTTCCCTGATGTCATTAATCAGAACACCCTGATAGCTGTCTACACATCCTTCATAAGTTTACATTGTGATAAATCCATTGTACATTATAAATGAATTCAACATTTCATACCTAGCTCCGCAAAAATGTGTCAGTAGTATTTCTTTGTATCTAGCTGTTAGCAGTGGTATCTTACTCATACTATTGAATGTACCAGGACTACACTGCCCATCATCACTGAATATACAGATTCCACTAAATCAGTAACACTTTTATACCATCTCTAAATTGAATCATATTAATATATAGCAGTGACAGGCAAGACAAGTGAGATGTACTGTTTTCTGAAACTCTTCTCATTGTTCCTTACTATAGAGGGCAAAATCAGTCAAAAGAGGCAGAATGTGTGTTTGGTGGGGTTGGTGGTGGGAGTCGTGGTGCTATGTGACAAAACTTTTCCTGGAGAGATGCAACACATGTCTATTCACTCCAGATAAGGAATACAGTGTTCAGTATCAACTCAGGACCCCAAAGATCAAGTTCTCAGCACAAAGGAGGTTTATTTGCTCCAGAAGGACAGAGGACAGATAATAAGAAACACAGAATGGATATAGAGGATGAAGAACAAGAGGAAGAGAATGACAGGGGAAAGATGTGTGTGTGTCCCAGAGAACAAAGGACTGCCTGTAGATAGAGAGAAGACAGATATGCCCATAGGAAAATGATAGTTTACAAAGGTAAAGGGGAAACTGCATGTTAGGATGAAGTGTTAAATTTTAATAGGGCATGTTAATTAGGTGAGCCAAAAGGGCTTTTGATGAAGGGACATCAATACTTTGATAGCTGGACCTTAGTAGTAAGTCTAAAAGAAGAAAGAGGACAAATAAGGGAAGAGCCTTTGGGGCCTAGTTTTAGGAATGTAATTTAGGAAGAGGGAATGGGGAAGAATGGCAAGGCCCATGAGAGCCAGATTTGTCGTGTACTGGCTGGCTAGAGTCCTTTCAGAGAACCGGTATCAGACTAAAGTGAATTTTATTGGAGTTACCTTCAAAATATGTGTAAAAGGTTACTTACAGGAACAGAAATTACTTAAATGTAGCTATGTCATCAAAGCCTATGCCAGCATGGGTGACAGCTCATGGGTGAAAGTTGGAAAATCTGGAACATACTGTAAAGCCTATGGACAGGTCAACAGTTTGAACAGTGTCCTTTTCCCATTCTTTAGTTGGTCTAAACCTCTTTCAAGAAACTTAGCTAGTTTCTGTTTCTTCCAGTTGCTGGTCTGACAAAAGAGTTTCTTTGCTGCTTGTCTCGGCTCTTCTGAGACTGACTCTCAGCTGTTATTGTTTACTCTGGCAGGGAGTAGCCTAATGAATCTAATTAGTTTCAGGGACTTCCTGAAGCTATTTTGAATGTTTTTTTTTTAACTTTCCTGCTTAAAGAGCTTCCAGCCAGATAGAATGCTTTAACTGATGCCCCCTGCCCTCACCACCAAATATGACGCTCAACAAAGAGTAAACTATGATGAACTAAAGGACATACCCTTTAACTAATCACAAAGCTACAACTAAATATCTCACAGCCATCACATCAGCTACTAATTTCAGCCAAATTTAGTGACAGCCCTCTGAAACATTTAGGACTTTTCTCTGCCCTTAAAATGACAAAATAGACACTCATCACTAACAAAAACAAAACGCTAGAACTCAAAGGAGAATTTCATGTTTTTATTTTCCCTTTTCCTCTTAAAATGTAATGTTTTATAATTCTTGTAAGTCATCAAAAGCAGGCCATTTCCTTGCATTTAATTTCTTCACTTCCATTATCTGAGAGCCTGTTGGAAATTCTTTTTATCATGTTCCCCAGAAGAACAGTTGGGAACTTGGAGCTGGAGTGGGTTTATTCATGTCAGCTTAAACTCATGTTTTGCATGTTAATTACCCTATCTATGACTTTCTAAATGTATCCTATCAAAAAGGAGGAAACGCCTTTATGATTTGCTCTGAGTTTCCAGTATTTGCTTCCCGTAAGTTTGCTTGCTTGGAGAGACAGGCCTGTAGGCTTATATTTTTAAAAACCTTTTTTAATAAGGAGTTTTAAATGCTTTAACCTCCCTTCTAACCCATCACCCACCAGATGTAGTGGAACAGAAAGGTTAATAGGGCAATGGAGGATATGGACCTGTTTAGAAATAGTTCTTTGGGACAATTTCAATCTTCATTGTCAGGACAGTAGCAGCTTAGTTCACAAGAATCAACAATGATTGCTTGGTCTAGTCACAAATACCATTACCTTGATGTATTTCTCTCTATGCTATTATGACATGAAGATGAGCAAAGAATGGCAAAATGAACTAATACCACTCAGTGCTGCCCCCTGTCTGTTGGGTTATATTTATACCCTTTCCAAACATCATGTGTTTTCTCAAGTGTCTGCTCTAGCAAAGCATCCCATGACTTTTTCATGGCAGCTTCAAGAAAAACATCACGTGTATGTTATCAGCAAACCATCCTCCCCTGTCTTTGCTTCAGCAAGAATATCCTCTTATAAGACAGTTTCCAGAAAAACATCACATGATACAACTAAGTCTCCAAAAATCCAAAAATTTCCACTTTAGAGGCCTTTAGATGGCATTTTAAAAAATGTTGATTTTTAAATAACTTGCATGAGGCTTCAAGGACTCAATAAGTCCCTATTTTAGAATACAGAATATACTTTTACACAACGGTATTTTCACAAATATATCCTTAGGAATTTTTCCCTGTATGTCTGTTCTGTCTGTCTCTGTCCTTATCTCTGTCTCTATCCTCCATATTTCTCTCTTTCTCTGTCTCTCTGTTTGTCTCTGTCTCTCTGTCTCTCTCTCTCTCTCTCTGTGTGTGTGTGTGTGTGTGTGTGTGTGTTTGTAAAATCTTTTTTTTCTTTATGTTTACTTTGACCATTAGAGTGGAAGCCAGTGTATATTGTTTGCTGTCACTGCACATGATCAGAAAGACTATCTTTAGATTACTGAAATTGAGAAGGACAATCATGACTTAGTTAAACACATACCTCTGGGTAATAGTTGACAGTCTGTCACGACAGTCTAGGCAAACTCAATTGTAACAGTTGTGCAATATGAGCATACTTACTGACACTGAATTATGTACTTTAAAAAGGCTTAAATATTGAATTTTATTGTGGCTATTTGATCCTGATTTTTTTATAGTTTAAGTTTAAATCCCCTCTATAGAAAAATAATGATTCTAAAATAATCAGCCACGATAATCCTTTATTCTGTAAATAAAGGATGTGAGACATAATGCAAGTGAACCAAACAGTGCTATCTATGTGTGTGTTTGTAAAACATGTTCAGTCTGTACAATGTTACCTGTATGTATCTGATTTCTGGGTGGCCATTTGATAGTGGATAATTAACTGAGGGGTACTTCCCAGCAGAAGACTACTTCTGCTCTCATCACTCCTTGGTTGCCTATAGATCCTTGTCCAGTTTTGAAGCCTTGTGAATGTCTTTTTTTTCCATATTAATGTATCTAATGGTGTTGCCCTTGTTTGAGTCTTGTTTAGGCAGTCATGTCAGTGAGACTTCCTGGTTGTAACTCCCCTGCCATTATTGGGAGTCTCAATCTCACAGAAAATGTTCTGTTCTTCTGATTCTTACAATCTCTCCTCCATCTCTTCCATATTGGTCCCCAAGGCTTAGGTTCTAGAAATGTATTGCAGATGTATGTATCAATTGGGACTAGGCATCTTACAGTTACTTGTTCTCTACATTTTAATCAGTTGTGAGTTTCTGTGATGTCATCTAGGAAAGTGTTCTTTGAAAGGTATAAGAACTTGATTTATCTGTGCATATAAGGGTAAATATTTGGAGTGGAGTTAGAGATTATGCTTTAGTAAAGTGATGGATTTACCTTCTCCAAGATCCCTGACAGTACTAGTCCTGGGTCATGCGAAAGGCAGTAAACATTCTTAACCACTGAACCAACTCTTCAGACCATCTGCAATTTTTTTTTCAAGTAAACATCAATCACAAATGAAGAGAAAGATGAACTACATATATAGTTAGACTGTGATGGTTCCTTCCTGTAAAACCTAAGGATTGCATAGAAAGTGGAAACTACAAAAACAAGCATAGACAGTCTTAGAACTAAATTTCAGGCTAATTTCTAACTACTGAATGATTGATGATTTGAAGATTTATTTCCTTATGTTTTCCATTCACTCAGGAGTTTTTGTTTGTTGTCTCTTGATGTTTAATTTTTAAAATGGTGATGATGCTTAGTTAATAACTGGCCTCAATTAATGTTGACAACTATTTTAGTAAAGCACCTTTCCTTCCAAGAGCAGATTGTTCAGGTATCCTATAGTCCACAGTGAGCATAGACATGTAGGGAACTGGAACTTCATGTTATTGTTAACTTTTAAAACTTCAGGTGTCATACCTTGAAGCTTTCTTTCTTCATAGAATTTAGCTAGGTACTATGGTAGGGAGAGGAACATCCTAAAGAATAGTATTTGATACTTATGAAAACTATAAGGCCTACGTCAGGACTGTTACCACATTAGATTAATATCAGAGAAACTAGGGTTTTGTTTTATTTTGTTTTTATTATTGACATTTCCTGAAAGCCAGATTTGAGAAGTATGCATGCTTCTGTTGACGTGGCTTGGTACTGTAGAACTCACTGAATTTCCTTCTTTCTTCAGACATTTGTAGGAAACATGAATGCCGACAGTGTGGTTCACCACAAACTGCTGCATCCCGTGAGAGCCCGCTTTGTTCGCTTTGTGCCCCTGGAGTGGAATCCAAATGGAAAAATTGGCATGAGAGTTGAGGCCTATGGATGCTCCTACAGTAAGTAATCACATGTACCAAGTCATATAGCATAAGATATCTATGAAATACCAGATCATTCATATTGAAAATTAAAATTTGTGTTTTTGTATATGTACATGGGTACAAAAAACCAGGGAGACAGAAATCTCCAATGTTTTTGAAAAACACAGTCCATCATATGACTCAATACTTTTTCACTTGGTCAAGAACGTCCAGATGAGCCTATGCTGTCTGACCAGTAACCCATAAAGGTATTGTCATCTTTATTTCCTCACTGCTGGGATTACTAGTGTGTACAATCATATACAACTTGATGTGGGCTCTGGGAATAGAATTTAGGTCTTCATGCTTGCAAAGTAAGCACTTTAGAATCATAGCTATTTCCCCAGTCTGTAGTTATCTTATTTTGTTCTAGTCTCTCTCTCTCTCTCTCTCTCTCTCTCTCTCTCTCACACACACACACGATATATATATATATATGAAAATGTGTCCCTCAGGAGAGAAGTAGAAATGTTCTTATGCTCTATATAAAGATGAAGCAATAAGGCAATAAAGTTTCAACAAAAAGTTCAAAACAAAGAGCCCATGGGGTTTGGATAACTATTTGCCACTTGCAATCAGAAATAGCAATGTTCAGCTTTTCTTTGGAAGTGCTGTGAGATATTGTAAACTTATTTCTCTACTCAAGAACCATGAAAGAAGGATTATCTCCTTCTTCACATTCTAGAAAAAGAAAAAAATTCCACCCAGGGAAATTCTCTTCTTCTGGAGTCACAGTATCCATGTGATATCTTGAGAGTTACTAAGAGTAAATTTGATCCATGTTGAACAAAAACAGGCTGTAGAGTTGAAGCCATTTTTAAAACAATGGTTCTTAACTCTCCTAATGCTTTGTTTCTTTAATACTGTTCCTCACGTTGTAGTGACCTCCAACCATAAGGTTGTTTTTGTTGCTACTTCATAACTGTAATTCTGCTATCACTGTGTACCATAATGTAAATATCTCATATGCAGGGTATCTGATATGTGACTTCTGTGAAAGGATTATTTGAGCCCCAAAAGTGTCATATTCCATGGGTGGGGAGCCATTATTATGGAAGAAAGGAATCATTTATAAAGGTTGCTATTTTAATTCTCTCGTGAATGCATAATGCTAAACATGCAAACCGTGTCATCATGAACTGATTTTTTCTAATCAGTGGCATTCATTTGCTGATTTATAACAATATCCATTGTCACCTAAGGAGTTAATATACTTAGTCAACACACTTTTAGAAACATAGTTATCTTAGCTGTTAACAATTACTGAGATAAAATACATTGGAAACCATTTTAAGTGAGAAAGATGTTAATTATTTCAGCTCACAATCTCAGGTTACAATCCATCATGGCCAGGCAGTCAAGGTGGCAGAAAGTTGAAGAGGCTAGTCAGATCACATCAATAATTAAAAACAGATATGAATGCATGCCCATATGCTAGTGCTCAACTTGTTTTATCACCCCTGTCAATCCAAGATACCATGCTCAGACAAAGGTACAATAGTGTGGGTGCATCTTCACACTATTCAAGGAAATTCTCCTGTAGACATGGCCACAAGCCAAACTAATCTAGAAAATCACTTACTGAGGCTCCCTTCACAGGTAATTCCATACATTCTTGTTGGCGATTAAAATTATCACAGCAGTTCAGTGAATTACGGTGTTGGGTCATGGAATAACCTCACATGTGCCTAATGCTGTTCATCAAAGTCAGGGCAAAATAACACTTGCTTCAGAAGCATTTAAAGTGCTCCATGAAATTGGATTTGGTTCCCTGATGTCATATGCACTAAATTAAGATTTCTGGACATAAAAGCACAAAACTATGATGTGTTGATGGCTCCTTGGGTAAACTATTGGCTAAGGTGGGTCTGGCAGAGAAATGAAGTGTTTTAAGGGAGAGGATTTGCTGGAAAGAGGACTGTCTTTATCATGAACAAGTATGATCTACAAGGGAAGCAACAACAGCCTATTCAAGTAGGGACTTTTTCATCTGCAAGTCTCAGCCCTTTAATGCCCCCAGTACCTCACCCCTCAGTGATGATCATTTTCACTACTGGGTGCCTTCTTTGATTCTTGTTGACCATTTTTGGTTACAGATTTGTTAAAAAAAAAAAAACCTTCATGATGGACAAACACTGAAGATATTTCTGTGTCTTATTTATAAAGCCATCTCTTTGTGCTTAATAATTTCAACTACATTTTAGTGTGAGTGTGTGTGTGTGTATGTGTGGGTGTGTGTTTTAGGAGCATGTTCTCTAATTCAATCATGTTGATCATGAGGATTGAGCTCAGGTCATAACACTTGGCAGCAAACACATTTATCTATGGAGGAGCCATTTGTTAGCCCCGGTAAAGAGAAATTTTTAGTCTTTCAAATGTCTCCATACATTTGTTTTTTCCTAGAATGATATTTCTCAATACTTTTTATACCTTTTGTTCACTCATCCTGTATGCCAAGCCCAAAGGACCATACTTTCAGTTATATCATAGCTGTTATTTTATACATATACATGTTTGTGTGTGTGCTGGTACACATCTGTGCAAAATTGGCAGTATATATGTAGGCATGTGTGTAGAATTCAGAGATTGTCAACTTACCTTATTCTGTCATAGGTACAGGCTACCTTGCTTTCATGAAAAAAAAAAGGCCTGTTGCTGGACTGTAGCTTGGCAAGTGAGCCAGTCTGGCTGACCAGTGAATCCAGTCTGACTGGCCAGTGAACCCAGCCTGGCTGGCCAGTGAACTTACCTCTTCCTCCAAAGTGATGGGCTCATAAGAACTTATCACTACCCTTTGCCTTCCCTCACAGGATCTGGGGCACAAACTAATATCCTTGTGTTTTCAAAGCAAATACTTTCCCCACAGAGCTATCTTCCCAGCCTATAAACCATCATCAGGTTGAAAGGTGTCTTTGAATAGTACTTGAGCTTTATACAATGAAGAACTTATTTCATAATCTATGCCAACACATTACCTGCTCCATAGAAAATATATGCATTTTTGTTAAGTACAAATATTCACACAGATCTGCTAAAGCCTAGCTCTGTTTCAATCCAGGATACTTCTGACTTTGAGGGAACTCAAGTCATCCTGATCCATTGCAGACACTCCTATATCTCCTGAATTATCTAAGGGATATAATTGTTTCAGTAAGACTGGCCAGCAATGGGATTTAGTACCTTGGGAACTATTCAAGGCCAAATGAGTTTCCTAGCATTTATCTGTAGCTTACATTGGTTTCCCATGATCTTATACATACATCTTCCTATATAAAAACTAAAGACATCACCATGGCTTCTTGCTGAAATCTGTTGTAGTTTGTTACTCTATTGCTGTGCTAAAAAATGACCAAATCAAGTTGGGGTAACAAAGGGGTTATTTGGTTTGGAGGTTTACATCCTTGAGGATAGCCAAAGCAGGAGCTCATGATAGGAACATGGAAGCAGGGACTGACACAGAATCTATGGAGGAATGATACATCCTGATTAATATTCACTTGTCTTTCTTAGATAGCCCAGATCCATCAGCCCAAAGACAGCACTGCTCATAGTGGGAGGAGGCCTCTTTCATTAAAATGCCCCTTGAATGTGCTAATAGACAGACTACATGAAGGTCTCTTCTCTCCTCCATGTCAACTTGACGACCAAGATTATTCATCACAGGCACAATATTCTACCATCTCTGTACCCACTTTTACTACTAGACAGTTGCCATTAATATAAAACTCTGTCCTAAATGTCATCAACAGCCCTAAAGAAAGACCTTGTGGCCCTATTTAGTATTTCCCTCCCCCTTTAATCTTCTCTATTCTACACAATGCTTTTTCTAAAATCTCCCTTTCGTTACTGTCTCTGCCTACCTCTCTTTGCATAGGTACCCATCAGAGTCTTTGGACATCTGACTGTTAGCTGGAAGACTTAATTTGGCAAAACTGTTGTTCTAAGGTACACTACCATATGCTTATCCAAGTGTCACTGAGATGTTTAGATTTGGTCTGTAATCAGTTTATTTTGCTTATTTACATTAAAATTTAAAATTTAAATGTATGTGTATAGATGTTCTACTTCCAGATATGTTTATATATTGTAAATGCCAGGCCCAAAGAAGCCACAACAGGACATTTGATCAGTTATGAGGCATGGCGGGGGCACTGAAAATTAAGCACTGATCCTCTGGGAAAGCCACCAGTCCTCATTTCCCTCTGCACCATTTCTCCAGCCCTGTAATCAGCTGATTTTTAAGTAAAGGAGACAATGTACAATAGTCTGGGAAGAATGATCCAAGAGCACAACTGAGGTTTCCTGATGAAGAAGGCAGTCTACATTGGACAGCACTTCCAGTCCTTGGCAGTTTGAAATTCCATCAGTGGATGGTCTGCTCTATGAAATGACTGTCTCAATTCTCCTGATGTATGTTCCACAGAATGTTCCACAGAAACTATTCTCTTGAAGACTTGCCATTGGTCTTCACATAGCCAAATATCTTCTACAGTCATTATTTCAAACCACTATTTGACTTATTTTTAAAGAGCATATTTGAGGTTGGAGAGATGCCTTAGTAAATAAAGTCATTTTTGGTGAGCACTGTGACCTAAAGTGATTCTTCTGAACAGTAGTTCAAAAGAAAAAGAGTTGAACTTGGCAGCATGTACCTATGATGCCAGTGATGAAGATGCATATATAGGAGGGTCTCTGGCAGTTGATGCCCAAATTAGAAAGCTGCAGTTTTAGTGAGAGACCCTGTTTCAAAAAATAATGAGAACAATTGTAGAAGACACCAAATATCTACTTTTCCCCTACACTTTCAAAATTAGCCACATGCATATATGTATATGGGAGTGCACATGTTCACACATGTACCAAGGGGGCGGGGAGAGAGAGAGAGAGAGAGAGAGAGAGAGAGAGAGAGAGAGAGAGAGAGAGAGAGAGAGAGAGGAGAACATAGAAGAGAGGGAGAAAGAGAGAGATTATTTAAG